ACTTCGGCATTCGCTCCGGCTCTAGGCGAGCCTCTGGGGCCAACTCCAGGAATTTGTATAACTGTAACCGGGATAAACTATATGTTAAAACATTTGCACAGCCTGGAATATGCTCTGACTTGAGAAAAATGTTTAATTGCAAGCAGCGCAACACAAAAACTCGTAGCAAGGCCAGGACGGTGACAGATTTGGTTGTCATCGAGTTAATGATGGCGACAACAGACTGGTAATCACATCTAAATAACACCTTTTTGTTTCTTAAGGAGTCACCCCACATGTATACTGCTACCATTATTAGGGAAACGTCCAGCACTAATATCCTTGGTGTATCCCTTTTCAAACCAAACTTCAGGCCAGGTGTCAAATACCCACCTCTCGTCAAAATATGCTCCAAATCCATTACCCTTCTTGGCCGAGCTATCAGTAAAAAGCTGAAAATCTGCATTTTTAATCCAGACTTGATAAAAAAATACAGATACTCCATTGAATGAATGAAAAATGTTTAACCATAGTTTTAGATCTTCACGCATTGTATGTGTTATTCTGATATTATGGTGAGGTTTAGCTGTACCCATAGCAGCATTGATTAGGCGTCTACAAATTGTTCTACCCGGGGGGTTTGGCTCTACAAGCAAAATTAAATGACCCCAAAAGTGACTGCAATTGTTTCAACGTTGTACTGCTTTTCGTAAGCATGACCAATATTTTTTGGACTATTTTTTGAACTTTGCCAATGGGAACTCGAATACACATATTTATTGTAACTATTTCAAGACCAGGAAAACATAAAACCCTCGGTTTTCTCTAGTGCAATGGGCACACCAACCTCACCCCATAATTTCTCAAATTCCGACAAGGCTCTGTTACATTGATAAGAGTTTTTTTTACACCACCAAACAATAGTTTTTTACACCACCAAACAAAAACTCATCTAAGTAGTGAAGTACTTAACCTGACTTTAAACGCTTACGTACAGCTTGTTCAATTACTGTTGAAAACTTTTCAAAAACAGGAAATTAAACAGGCCAACGGTAAACATTTGTCGAAAAAATAGAAATTGTCTAGCTTAAAACCTAGTAGGTCAAAATCTCCTGGCCATACAGGAATTATTCTGAATGCAGACTTGACATCAGCTTTTGCGAGTAATGCCCCTTTGCCCAACCTCTGCACCATTTGAAGATACAGAACATAACTTTGGGTCAATGAAATCATTAACTGATGTATCCTTAGAGTATGACAAATGGTGGATTAATCTAAAATCACCGGCATTTTTCTTGGGAACTAGACCTAACGGAGATACCTTCAAAGTAGATATTGGCCTTGTCTCAAATGGGCCTTCAACCCTACCCAACTGTATTTTCTTTTGAACTTTTTTTTCCTGGCAACATATTCATTACAATTTACAGATTTTAAATTTCTCGCTTCGGTTTGCTCGCTTGGGCCAGCATAATGTAATGGAAAACCATTCTTAAACCCATTCACTAATTCAGATGCCAAAGCAGCATTCGGATGATCTTTACGTAACGCAGCCAGACTATTGCTGTTTTTTTCCCGAAAAGAATTACAATTTAGCTGTGAGTGCCCCCCATTACATTTGTTACATAAATGCTTGAAACTGCATGGATCATATTGGCATTTGTTATTATTGTATGCTTTACAAATACCTGGCTTTACGTAACCACCACTTGTTTGCTGCACTGGAGTGTGACTGACCCCACTGTTATTGCGAGGCACCGTCATCAACCTCAGCCACAAGTCGGCATTCAGCTTTGACCAAGATTGAATACAAATTGCTTGACGATGGCGAAATTGCTCATCATATATACGCCAACCGACACCTTGACACCTACTGGCTGCGTTGCGTATGATGGTCATGTATTGAATCAACTCCAAAGGCGTCCGACCATTTTTCTATATTGGGGATACGGTTCTTTAAAACCTTTGGTTTTGACTCCAGCGCCCCAAGCTCATTAATAAATAAACTATTTACAGCGTAAAAATTCCTGCAATTCCGCACAACCTTTCAGTAACAGTGCCAGGTTACCATACTGGTTGGACCAGATTTTTTGTTTCAACTTCACTGGTACGTGTGCGGCCACATTGTCATTCACACACGATATCATGTCTGGTAACGACGAGTCGAACCTCGCGGGTAAACCTGTCGTAGCCCCACCGAATATAACTAGGGGGATTGCAATTGTGGACACATTGCTGTAGGGAGGGGAGGGGATTGCACCGGTGGTGAAATATTAATATTATCATTTAATACTGCCCCCCAAACATTGGATATATCCCTCAAACCATTACCATTATCATGGGATGGGGCCACCACGTGGTCCGCTTCTTTCACGACCACGTGCGATGGTGGGCCAGCTTCAGTGTGTTCATACACGGAATTAGATTCATTTGGCTCATCGGCGAACCTTGCAGGCTTTCTCCCCTTCCTTTGACCCTGCGCTCTCGCTGCAGATCCCCGAGGCTCCTTTCTTTTCGCCGCTACTCTCGTGTAAACCAGCATATTATAAGTCGGCGAATGATGATAGACAACGTTGTAATCGCTTCGCCAGTTTACAGACAGCAAGTGGTCCCGATAGCCGGTGTGCATGTCCCAATCGTAACCGCCCTCTACGATATAAACTCCTGTACATTTTTTGTATATTTACTCGAACTCTGAAAATAACTGTGTTTAATTCGTAAACTATTAAACATTTGTATTATCATTTATATGTATATTCTGTAAGGTATTATCAGATTATTGGTAAAATGTAATGTTTAAATTATTATTTCACTACCAATGTATTTAATCATAATATTCTGATTAAATGTAAAGAAATGGATAAGAGTAATTTTTCAGTTTTTCAGATGTATATAATGTTTGTATTCCAAATTATAAAGTGTAGTAATTAGTATTATTTTATAAGTTTTTTATTTATTTCATTTACAGTATTACATGTTAAACACTTTGTAACGACTGCCAGTCATACGTCGCCTGTTAGACAAAGGAATTGCTGTAAACCCCCACAGGATCTATGGGGTAAGTTTGAAATGCATTATTTTATATTTAGAGATATTTTGTATAGTACTATAAGGTAATTCCATATCAGTATATTTAGTATTATTGATATGTACATTGTAAAAATAATATTTTATTTTTATATGGAGCTCAAACCAAAAACGTATCTATTATAATGTACTATTATGCATTATTGTGATAATTGAAGTATATGTACGAGTTATGTCCCTTGATCTAAATAGACTATGTGAGTGTTGCATTTGTACTTGCAGGTGGGGTTTTTAAATACAGAATAAGCTTCATAAAGAACCCAACAGTGTTTAGTGGATTTTTATACACGATGAAAGCACTGTAAGACCTGTACCTGGTTTATATGTGATGAATGGATATATAAGGTTGAACGCACAGGTAAATATGCATGTGCTAGTGCCCGTGATTTACCTGTACCTGGTTTATATGTAATGAATGGTTTTCCACACGTGTCATGGCTCACAGTAGTGGACTTAGATTTGTCTGGCTGTCCAAAATCTCCAGTTTATATTAACACAAAAGAGACTGTGTTTATGTTAGAGATACGCCTCAAACTGATATGTGCGAGACGGAACAGGGCTCGGCCCTAACGGGCCTTGACACTGTTCCCGCTCAAACATATAGCCTCAACGTAAAGCATTTGCTATTGACTTTTTTTGGTCATTGAGTGAAAACTTAGGATCTGTAGCATCAGTAAAAAACAGCATACTTGTTTTGGAAATGAAGCTCATCTAATTTGTCCTTACAAAATTTAAACAAAATATTTTGGTATTTAATATATTTCAAATTTTGGGACAGTACCTTTTTTCATGTTTTAGTAACGTAAAAACTCATTGTTCTCACCCCATTATTCTCCAAGAGAAAAAAAAGGAATATTTCTCATTTCTTAACAAAATATATACAAATGTTCATACCTGAGTTAATGTAGCAGTATATTTTCGCATTGACACACTTGTTACTCGCTGAGGGGCCTGCAAACTACACTCGGAACACACAGACTTGATAGAACTATACATTCTTGCATAGGATTGGACTGAAAAGTAATTGACAAAAGATTCAAAACATTCTTGAACCATAGTGATGTAGGAATATTACATTATTTTCGCAAATACCTCAGAATATATGTTAAGTTGGGAGTAAAGCTGACTTAAGCAATCAATGGCAGTAATTTTGTAACCTCATAGGCAATCAATTGAGCTTAACATGGTTGAACGTACATGTTTCAGAACAATAGACAAAAGATCCCAGACGGATTATTATTATATATCAGTCCATCATTGTATGATCTATTCATTTTGATATTTATTCATTCCTGTAATAACATTCTAATCCTTTACCATCTTATTTTTTTATCAGTCCAGTAATCTAACAAACACAGCTAGGGACCATTGGGAACATACAGATGAAATTTGAGAAAAATCCTTCCAATACTGCTGAATTGGATAACTAAGATGAGAAAGATCATTTCAGTACTTTCATATTTCAAACACTTAACCCTGCTTGGATTTGGAATACATATGTTCAATTACTTGGAAAGAGATACATATTTTCACTGGGTATTCCTGCCGCAAGACGATTCTTCTTGTTGGTCAAGAATTCTAATGGTTTCTGCGCATCTGCAGGAATTAGTACAGGTACTGGTCTGCCTCTCTACAATGTGTTGGGAAAAATAAGCGTAAAGTATAACAGGTATACTTAGTTTGAAATAAAGGTGTTTAAATCTTTAAAACAAATGTCTTTGGGGTACATATTGATCTGACATCCCTGTCACAAGTAGTGTCGGTTTATCTCCGAGATGGTAACTGTTAGTATGAAAGAGGTTCTATGTATTTTTTTGCTATGGTATATTTTTCCATAGGGGGGGTTTTTATGTGGTTAAATACAGTACGGTACACTAGTAACAGTGATAGACATATCACAGTAGGGGAAATACGGTAAATTATGTGGGGTTTTCACCTGGGAGAGTAGGAGCCAATCAGAATTTAGCTTGGCCGTCACTGCGCTCCGAGTCACACACAGAGCAGCAAGGCTGTCTGCGTCCGTAAAACCTCAAGCTATGGAGTAGAACAGGTTTATAGAACTTCCCAGGGGTGAGTGTTATGCATAAAACCACTATTGTTTGTAACATGACCAGCTAAGTAGCTGTCATGGTCATTTTGTCTATTTTTGAACGAAAGAATGTTCTTTGCGAAATCCGCTCGCTCAACCATGTGCTAACAATGGTAGTTTCTACTCCTGCTTAACGCTCAGCAAATTAGGAGTGGGACGACTGGTTCGCCCGTTGTCAGTATAATGTGACCGGGTGAGGCGTCCTGCTGGGTGTCTTCGGCAGTATGTTTCAGTGAGGTAGCACTATAAAGTCGGCATCAGTTCCGCGCTATCACAAGGAGATAAACACGAACATATCGCAGCCTCCCAAAATACACACGCATACACTACACGCATGCATCTTGCACACAGGGGAGGCCGTCCTTAAATGACCTTAGCTGTTAATAGGACGTTAAACAAAATCAAACAAACAAACAAAAATATTTGGATGGGACGTGAGTGAGTTGATTACGAGTCGGATAATTAATGAAAGCTAACTGGTTTCAGTGACATTTATGAACTGTTCTAGGCTGTTAGGCATATATTAAATGGTTGTAATATATTGTCAATATGTAAAAGTTGTTTTAGGGGTAATTTTACGAACGGGAAGTTCGAATATGTTTGATACCGGAAGTGACCCTTAGGTTGTTGACCTTTTGTAGTTCGAGTGATGGGGACCATGCAGTTGGGGTCCTGTGGCCAGTGTGGGGACGGGATAACACGAGAGTGACGGCACCCAGGCCATTTCAACTTCCACCTACATCCTTCGTCACAGACTCTTCTCAGACGGCTCAGACGCTTCGTGGAGACGTCACAGACAGTCACGCCACGACAGGGATGAGGAAGGGCCTGGACACTTAACGACTCCTGAGGAACCCCTATGACTTCAGAGATAGTGTGAATCTACATCACAGCCCTCTGCTACGTCTATATGAACACTCGTGCACTTAAGTATTGTGTTAACATTTAAATAGGACATACATGTAGTTGTGACACTACAGAACTGTGCTTATACCCCCAGTGGGGTAGCTAGTGGAACTAACTATTAAGCTTAGTTGTGTGAATACTTCATGACCAAAGACTTATATTTCAGGAACTTTACATAATTAGAACATTGTTTACTTTCTATTCTTGGATACAAAACTTATTACTATGTAGGGTGTGACAGGGATACTCGAGTCTAGTCATGAGAGTGTATGTTGATGCTGTGTGGTAATCAGTATGCAATAGAGCGTTTGATCCTAGTGCGATTACCACCAGGTAATAGTTCCTTTTACAGGAAGAAACTCAATCGTTATCACTTGTGTAGATTCTGTACATATATATAGTGAATTGTTAATACATTTGTTGAATTTATATCATTGTTGTTGATTCTACCTCCATCATCCGTTATTCACTCCTCGACTTCGTTAATAGGACGTTAAACAAAATCAAACAAACAAACAAACAAACAATCCCAAAGGAGCTTGTTGTTAATTTTGACCAAACCGGACTGAAAATGGTACTCGTCAGTCAATGGACATCAGAGGAAAAGGGCTCGAAAGACTGCAGCATAGTGGCACTCGATGGCAAACGGGAGATAACTGCGGTTATCGGCGTTTCGATGTCCGGAGATGTGTTGCCACCGCATATTATCTACAAGGGTCTGACCGATCGCTGTCACTCACTCTTCACATTTCCCTCTGACTGGAATGTGACCCATTCGGAAAGTCATTGGTCGAACTCTGACACTATGATGCAATATGCAAATGAGGTGCTGATCCCGTATTGTAACAAAGTGCGGAAAGAAATTGGGCGTGGCGGACGTAGTAAGGCTCATACCATGCTTTGGCATTTTTTGATAATTACGAAGCACGCCAACATTTCTTGAATTTATTGCACAAAAACCACTCAGGAGTTACAGCCGTGCGATCGTACAGTTAATGGTAAGCTCAAATCGATGATCAAACAAAAAAATTGTACGCGGCACAGGTGTCTACGCAGATACAAAACTGAGTAGAGATCGAGAAAGGGTCGGTTGATTTAAAAAAATTCAGTGTGATCAAACAAGCCGATGCTTACGTATTTGATGAACTGGCGCGTGGCATACAGTGTATTGTTGATGACTTTCGACTGGCCGGGATTACCGAGGCCTGTAGGCTGTAAGTATTGACATGTGCTGACGTTACCTGTGTTTAACTCTGTTATGTGACGATAATTACACCGTAGGTAATGACTTGTGTTTAAATGTAATTATATATAAATACACCATGGAGTTGCTATAAATAAATAGTTTCAATTTAATATTTTCGTTGAGTTTATATTTCGTGTGTTTAAAATTTCGTTGGGATTTTATTTCGTGGATTTTATAAAACCACGAAATAAAGGAAATTTAATCCCCAACAAAAAAGTTTGCTTTTACAGTATTAAACATGGTTGACGAAGATGGACATCTGCGTTAATCGAACATAACACATGGTTCTTTTTTAATTGTTTAATATTATGAAAATGTAGCTAAATATCTGCAATAAAGAAGGAAAGAATAGAAAGGAAACAATATAGCAACACACTGAACCAGTCGCCCAATGGGCCTGAATCGTTCACCTGGTATTAATCCCACACTTGTAACCTTAAAAGTGATATAAACAAAAACTACAGGCAAAATATAATTATTTATGACTATGTCATTCAAAAGAACCTGTTACAAGATTTTAAAAGATTTGGCCCCCGTGACTTTGAAAGTCGAACAAACTTTATAGCCCTTCATATCAGCATACAACTTGCCAAATAACACCACCCTAGACTTTCTGTTGATACATATTTGACCAAATGTGACCGTGAAAGAAGGTCAAGGTCGTTCAAATGACTTGATAGCCCTTCATCCAAGCATGCTTCTGGCAAAATTGCAACATTCTAGGCCTCACGGTTATTCAGGAGAAGTCGTTTAAAGATTCTAAACAAATTTGAACCATGTGACCTTGATATAAGTGAAGGTCATTCATTTTAACAAACTTAGTAGCCCTTTAGCATAGCAAGATACTGGTCAGATAAAATCATCCTGGGCCTATAAGTTATTCAGAAGAAGTCTTTAAATGATTTTGAACATATTTGACCCCTGTTACTTTTAATATATAATTCGAAGTCATTTATTTAAACAAACGTAGTAGCCTTCATCCTAGTATACTACTGACCTGATATCATCACCCTGAACCTTTTGGTTATTCAGCAAGGTTGTTTAGATTTTAAACATGTTTGACCCCTGTGACCTTAAATACAGGTCAAAGTAATTCATTTTAACAAACTTGGTAGCCCTTTATCTCCTAGCATGTTACTGGCTAGATACAATTTCCCTGGGCCTTATGGTTATTTAAAATAAGTTGTTTAAAAGTTTTTTTTAGACAATTGACCCCAAAAGTAAAATACTGATGACGGACGCCGCACCACAGCATACGCTCAGGTGGCCCTTGGGGCCAGGTGAACTAAGCAAGAGGCCCATGGGCCTTAACGGTCACCTAATATATTTATACAGATAGTTGATTTTGTTTTTAACAAGAACAGAAATTTTATTCAAAGTAACGAAAAACAATAAAACCACCTTATTCAATATCTAGCATACAGATTTAAGACTGAAAAGTATTTGAAACTAGCACCTCTGATTCTCAACAAGGAAACTGAAGAAATGACTCCTTTGGCCCCACCCTACAGCCCTTGGGGGTAGGGCTGGCTCAAAATTGTCAAAGGTATCAAACTGGGTTATAATCCCCCCTCCTTCCCCAGGGGGTAAACGTGAGACCCTAGGGAAATAAATATAAGACCCTTTCATCTATGAGAGTATTTGATTCTACCATATCTGTGTCTTGAGAAGATTTGTGAAATTTTAGTCAATTTGACCCTTTAGCCCCGCCCCTCAGGCCCCTGGCCATGGAATGTTTCTGCAAAATTTCATTGAAATTGGTTCAGGGGTTTCGGAGAAGAAGTCGAAAATGTAAATTGTTTACGGACGCACGACGGACGCCGCCGGACAAAAGGCGATCGCTATAGGTCACTTGAGACTCTGTCTCAGGTGACCTTAACAGCCCCAGATTTTGCAAGCGGCCGCACTTTTGTCGCGCCATTAACGATATGTAGTTGGATAAAGCAGGCATATTCTTTCCCCGAAATATTTACCCTTAGTTTATTCAAAATTGAACTTTCTATGCCCATGGATACTCCAAGCAATATTCAATCAAAATCATCCTAGCAATTTAGAATTATAAGCGTTTTAAACGAAAATTTACAGCTGACCGGTGGATAAGTTACGGTCACGGAGTAAGCTCACCGGTCTTTAAGATCAAATGGACTAAACAAAAAAATGTAAAAATCCAATTGCTTCTATGTTTACTTACCTATCTACAAAAAACTTGAAGCATGTTCGTAGAATCAAATAACTAGCTATTAGTCCTTGCCTCGGGACAAGGTATTGAGCGAGATAGGTATGTCATAAAAACTGAAGTGACGAGCAGTAACTACTCCTATCGTGACAAATTAATATAAACAAATCTCCCGTGTGAGTCATTCAAAAACTATTCTTAAGCATATTACATAAGCAGAAATTGATACATGTTTTGACAAGGTTTTGTTAACTTGTTTATGGATTAACTTCCTGGCAACAGCCAGAGTCATACATGTATGAGGACAGGGGCAAAAGGAGAATCGCCTGAAACAGACAGAAGATAGATAGATAGGACAGATAGGACAGAAGACAGAAAAGATTTGATTTTTTTATACCGATTGATGCAATGGGGGCATCAGATTGATTTTGGTCTCTTCAATGTACTCCTTGTAGGACACCACTAACACCACTCCACCTACAACATTCCTATCACTGTAAGTAGTGATAGCCACGTGCACGCCTCCGCTGACGGTGTCTATCAGTGTTAACCTACCTCTCCATATTAAATCGGGCCGCTCCAATAGACCTGTTATACCTTTAAATGAGCGGACATGTACATATTGTCACTGTAATTCAGTAGAATCTGAGATAAATGTTTTATGTGAGTGTGACTTTTACTCTGATATTCGTAGTATACTGTATAAAAATGCTACTGATATCCAACCAGCTTATATTAACTATAGTGATATATTAATCTTATAATGAACGAAGAATCCCTTTCAGTGTATTCTAGTTAAAAGCGTTTTCTTATATGTCAGAAAACAAGGGGCGTTCACAATATTGTAAATGGTCTTAATGAATATGATTTGTCGTTTTAACTGTAATATTGATGTATGTATACTGTGATAATACTTTAATGCATTGTAGTTAATTTAGCAATATATTAATGTGCTCAATAGTTTAAATGATAATTATATATATATGGCAGTTATATGTCACTCTCGAAATAACTTAATATGTAAAAAGTTTAAATGTTCTGTTGTTTATAATTGTGATATATTTAATAGTAGTGTGACACGCTAATCAAATATTCATTATTTACACCAACATGTCATGTGTCCGGCACACATGAACACATGCACGCTAACACAACACATACGGAGGCAAGACTTTAAATGACTCTAGATGTTACTAGGACGTCAAAATATAACCAAACTTAAACGAAACCATGTCCGTAATGTATGTTTCGGTGTCTAGATTTCATTTTCTACTGAATAACCAAAAGTGAGATGATAACTGACCGGCCGCTTGTTGGGATTTGTTAAAGAGAATGAATTACACCAATATTCATTGTCGCAGGAGTCGATTGTCTTTTAAACCACTTCTTATGAACAAGAGGCCCAATGGATATGTCTCGCTGACTTGGTATTAATCTTACTTGTTACCTTTAAAATCAATTAAAA